CTCCTCGTAGGCTGAAGCGGCACTTGTTCTGGCTCAGGGTAAGTCCCGAAGCTTGATTACCGAAGAACAGCTTCAAGGCGCCGGAGGTGCTCGTCGAAGTGGAAGAAAATACGACTACAGTCGTCCAAGTAGACGAGGCAAGTCTGCCACTTCAAGCCTGCGAGTACTGTGTCCATAACCCGTTGGAACGTCGCGGGCGCCGAGCAAAGACCAAAGGCATGACCTTAAACTCGAACAGGCCGTCTTGGGTTTATGAAGGCAGTCTTCTCCTCGGTCTCTCTCGTCTACTTCGGATTTGCCAGTAGCCGGTTTTGAGGTCCATCGACGAAAAATACTTGGCGTTTGTAGAGTCTGTCCAGAGCATCGTCTACCCGTGGGAGGGGATACAGGTCTTTCTTCGTGATCTTGTTCAGGCGACGATAATCGACGCAAAAACGTAGGGTTCCGTCCTTCTCCTCACTGAACACAACGGGTGATGCCCACGGGCTCGTAGACGGCTGAATGATGTCGTCACGCAGCATTTCGTCGACTTGTTGCTTGATGGCCTCGCGTTCCCGTGCAGAAACTCGGTAGGGGCTCTGACGGAGCGGACGGGCATATTCGTCGGTTATGATGCGATGTTTCGCGAGAGGGGTCTGACGAAGCCTCGATGACGACGAGAAGCAGTCCCTGTATTGGTGGAGTAAGTCTTTGAGCTCCTTTTGGTTGCTGCCTGGAAAGGTCTTGACTTACGTCGAAGGCGGGCGCGGAAACTGCTTGTCGACGTTGTGGCTCCCTGAGAATCGGTGAGGGCGAAGGCATTGCTCGTTTCCACAAATTCGCTTAGATGTGCCTACTGTCGTTGCCCCTATTCAAGTGCCTATATTCAGTTGCTGAAGTTCGTCACCATTACCTTGGCTTCGCCGTTATGAAGCTTGGCTATGCCTCTTGCGACGCACATCTGACGGTCTAGGAGCAGGTGCTGGTCGCCTTCGATGACACCTTGTAAGTTGGTAGACGCTTTGGTGCCGACGGAAATGATGACGCTCGACAGTGGCGGGATGGGTACCTGCTCTTCTGTACATTCAAGGCATTGTGAGCGACGTTGCAGTCTGCATGCCGTTGCATTATCCGTGGACAGCGTGATTGACCTGGATCTTAGGTCGATGACTGCGCCGTTGCTGGTCCAGGAAATCCATGCCTAAAATGACGTCTCGCGAGCATTGCTGCAGGACCACAAAACTCACAGAATACGTCTGGCTGTGAATCGTGACTCTTGCCGTGCAGGTTCCAGTCGGTGTTATAACGGTGGCCCCCTGCTGTTCGGATATCCGGTCCTTCCCATGCAGTCTTTACCTTCTTGAGCTTAGCGGCGAAGAGACCACTGATGACAGAGTAGTCGGCGCCGGTATCGACTAGGGCGGTGACGCTGTGGGCCGTCGATGATCACGTCGAGGTCGGTGGTTCGTCGTCTGGCGTTCCGGTTAGGTCGGGGCGTTGGATCACGGCTGCGTCGGCTTGGTCCGGCGCTGCTATGTCGCGTCGGCGGCGAGGCTTTGTCGTGAAGACTCTGCTCAGGCGGCGTACTGCGACTACGTCGGGAAAGTTCGTGCGTCGTGGTCGTCGTCATCGGCAGCGGCGGCGGCGGTGGAGGAGGATCTTCGGCATTGCGTCGTGCAGCAACCGTACCTCCATCGGTTGCTGCCTTTAGTTTCCCGGGTAGGGGCTTGGGGATCGGCCCCGGTTAGGGCCGGTGTACTGGCGGCGATCCGGAGAGGCGTAGCGGCCAGGCGAAGGTGAACGGGATGGTCGTCGTCGTTGCCACTGCGATCCGGCGATGTAGTCGGCGATTGTCGCGAGGTCGCTCACCTGGGCGCGGACGCGGCGCGTTCACGTCGAAGCCACGCAGTCCCATCTCACGGTACTGGCAGTAGCGGTAGGTGTGCCCGGCTTCGCCGTAGTGGTAGCATAGTGGGCGGTGGTTCGGGGTGCGCCAAACGTCAGTTTTCCTCGGCGAGCGCTGGATTACTGGCGAGCGGGAAGGCGTCGGGGGTGGCGGCGGTGGTTGGCGACGAAACTGCGGAGACGTTGGGTCCTGGCGTTGGCGAGGAGCGGCGACAGGTGCAGTAGCGGCGTAGGTCATCGCCTCCGGTTGGGGCTGTGGCCGTTCAGGAACGCTCAGTGAGCGCTGTAGTTCCTCGCGGACTACGTCCTTCGAGAGAGGCGACTTGGGGCTGAGACGATGGCAACGTGCGGCGCAGTTCTTCACGAACAATAGCGCGTATGGTCTCGCGCAGGTCGTCGGGGCAGAGTCCTCGGACTCTGCGACGTCTGGCGACATGCGCCGATCGTATTGGCGGGTCCGCATTTCAAGAGTCTTCTCGATGGTGGTAGCCTCGGAGAGAATTCTTGTACCGTCTTTGGCGGTTTCTAATCAGTCCGGCGATGAGCTCCTGCTTCACTCCTCGCATAAGCAGGCGAACCTTCTTGTCCCTCAGACATGTCGGCGTCGGCCTTGGCGGAAAAGTCGCGTTCATCTCCTCCGTGAAGATCGTTACGTTTTCGTTGGGGAGCTGCACCCGAGTTTTCAAGCAGTGATGCGGCTCTTTCCTTCCGCACGACGCTTGCAAAGGTTGCGCAGGAAAGCAACGCGGAAGTCGTCCCCAGGTTCGAAGCGTTGACTCGCGGTTCTCGAACCAAGTCCCTGCGGCGTCTTTCAGGTAAAAATACACATGACGCAGCTTGTCGTCCGGGTCCCACTATTGAGGGCTGCGACGCGGTCGTAAATGTCAAGCCAGCTTTCGCGGGTCTTCGTAGGTCGATCCGCGGAAGGTAGGCGGCTCTCTGGGCTGGTTGACGACCACGGTTGCCGAAGACCTTGCTTCCGTCATCGTGGATGCCGGCTTCGTAGCAGCCTTTGTTTTCTTGTCCTTGTCGGGAAGCGGCAGGTATTCGGGCGGTAGTCCTTGTTGTCTTCGGCTCACTCGAACGACCGGGTCGGCGTCGTCCTCTTGGCGGATTGGGCTTGGCTCACGGCTGGACGGGGGCGTACGGTACATGGACCGGAAGCACCTCCACCAGATGTCACGCGTTGTGACACACGCAGCACTTGAGAGGAAGCACACAGGAGTCAGGGCGATGTCGGGCGAACTGTTTATTGGGCGAACTTGTGCCCAGCAAACAAGGCCAACACAACTCACAGCAACAGCGGCGTGAACAGTCGTCGGTCTCGACGGAAAAAGACTGGCTAGTGGCGCACTGCGCCGGCTTTTATACACGCGTCATATCGCGTTCTCGATTTATTTCTGGAGCTCCAGAAGTTACTAAAATGTGCGCGTCAAGCATGCAAAGTTTCAAGAATGATCCACACGGTTCCAGAGTGGCATGCAAGATAAACGCGGCCTGCGTTGCGCTTAACAGAAAGTGATAACAATGCTCCCCGCAAACAATCACAACGAGCGCGCGTGTCACTGGAAAGTGATAGCGGCTTTCTTCGTAAACCAAAAGAACCGCACGTGTCAATATACTGGATTCTGGGGCGGACGTCCACACTCTTTCAAGATTAGGAAGGAACTGCCAGATCCCCTTTATTTATTTCACGTTCCTCAAGCATGCGCGAGCTCGGCACCGACCTACTTCGTTTTCCTCGCGCAAAGGCGCGAGACACGCACCAAACGTCGCCTGCTATATCGCTCGTCATAATGTGCAACTTTTCACGCTGTTGTGTATTTTCTGACTTTTCTGTGTATTCTGTACATATTATTTTTTACATTCTACATTGGTTACGTGCAGGACCCCGCATCATCTTCATTTCAAGGGGGGAGGGGTGATGTGGTGTCGTGGTTTCAGTTCCGGCTTCGGAACCGGTTGGCTGGGGCGTTGTTACATACGTATTTATGAGCAATGCTTGTGTACATCAAGAGAGCTTCCACCCGGGTCTCATATGTGCCAATTCCTCATCCTTCCCGGCCCGCGCTTCGGGCACCGGGCCTCGCTTTCTACGTGCGTCGCGTTTTACGCGCGATAAAACAGTCTGCACACACCGTTGAAATCGGTGCAGAAGCCCGTGATGCAACTTCTGCTTACGAAGGCGTACGAAGGGCGCAGGGAGACGGGCGTGTGCAGCGCTTGTCATTGATGCCAGTTCGTCCTGATAATCTCACACAGGTTGGCAGGAGGAGTGTGGACAGACGCAATGGTTGGGTTGCCCTGGAACAAGGCCGTAGATTTCCTCTCTCACAATTGTGCGGATAAGGGCTCGCAATTATGTTCTCCAGTAAAGCGAGCGTCGCAGGAGTTGTGTGCAAGGCGCATAGAATGAAACTCTTGACTGTATTATATAGTCGATTCTGGATAACGATAGCATTGAAGGCTGCAGAGTTGATGGCTTTCAATATGTGTCGGATACGAACGGCCTCCATCATGTCAATTTGGGCTCGGCGACGGAGAGCCAGAACATCTTAATGTAAGACCTATATAATTCACCGTCCCCATGGATGCGAGTTGCGAGCTTCTGTTTCACTACCGCAGGGCATCCTACACAGTGCTAAATATCTGACGGAGATGTCCCGTCAAGGCTATCAATCGGAGAAGTCACTTTAGTGGCTGTAATAGCAGGTTTTAGCTACCCACTATAAGGTAAAAATGAACGTAGCGCAGTTCGTGCGCCTAGACCCAATAATTACAAACGCTGGTTCGGTCATAACTGTCCAGTCATTCTTCGACGTCGTCGTCGCGAAGGCCGGAGAATACCGGAAGGTCTCCGTGAGAGATACTCATGGTGTAGTGAGGCCTAACTGGCTGATAGAAAAGTGGTTGCAGCAGCATACGCGTGGGGATTCTACCATCTCTGCTCTTTGATGGCACAACCGTCGACCAGACAGGAGCTCCAGGAGTGACCAGTAGAGCAGGAGGACGTGGGAACGAAATCACGCTCCACCGCTTCACTTGAGCCCACGTGACAGACGATCATATCGGCGTTCACAATATAAGCGTCATCAATTCATAGTTCGAAAAAATTTTCATGGCAGCTCGTCCAGCTCCAGCTTCACGAACCACCACTTGTCAAGTGCTCTATCTGCATTCGGAAGCGACACCTCCAGACTGCCAACTTCTTTCGGTGTGCGTTCTTTCCAGTGGCTGCAGTCTACGCGAAAACGCCTCCATGGCGAACCAGTCAGGAACCGATCAGTGGCCCGTCCAAGAGCGGAAATTAAAACTGCGACCCGCTACACGGAACCACTGGTCCTACGGACCACTGGTTGGCTGAGCGCCTGCGGGGTTCGCGCTGTTTTCGCGACGAGGGTCGATAAGCGCAGTGGGCGAATGCCGGCCGCTGCTCGTGAGAGGCCAGGGGGAAACCAGATGGGTCTCGCACTTCCACGGAAACCAAAAAAAGAATTAATGATGGGCACTGAAAGGAATAGCGCCAGCTGCTAAAAGTGCAGGAGGTCTTCATGTTTAAAAACAAGCAGCACGTACGAAAAAATAATGCAGAAGCGTACGTTCTCGTGCGTTCATACACGAGAAATTAATTGAAGTACCACATACGTATTTTTCTTTATTGATAGATACTGCGATCTCTTCCCAGATATTAGCATTGTGGTTATACATAAAATATACAAATAATTTAGTGAACACAAACTGCAGGCTTTCTTTAAACATTTGTAAGAATTCAAACAGAAGAAAAAACACAGGTAACGAACCAATGAAATAACAGGAAATTCATAACATATTCAGATTTTTTTTCAAACATGACTAAACCTTATGAGAACTATATTGGTATTAGGATTATTCCAGTCCGTTATAGTCCGGGGAAAAAGAATATTTAAAACTGTTATTTTTGTAGTAAAGGGAAATATGGTTAAAGCATGCCTTTGCCTTGTTTCCGATGATAACCTGCGAGTAAAGAAATAATTAGAAGTGTTTGGCATTCTAATGACCATTTACGAACTGATATAGATTTTAATCGGCATACATGGTTGCGCTCTGCCACCAGGGGTAGTCCAATACGTTTAATTAGCTCACTCGCGAATATGCGGCCGTAGGAATTAGAAATAAATCGAACTACTTTTTGCTGTACACGCTCAAGTTTTTTTAACATTCTTAAAGTAATGTGTCCCAGATAATCACTGCTTATTACAACAATTAATGGTCGAATGAATTAATTTTAGGTTAAGAACTGAAACAGTAGGTGTAGATGATTCCAATGTTCGTCTCAAGAAAAACAGTTTGCGCAAGGAACTAGAAACAATAGTATCCATGTGCTTACTCTAGGAAAGATTATCAGTGATCCACAGGCCATAATATTTCTATTGTGTTACTTCTAATAACGATACACCGTTTACACCATATTTATACTGAAAAAGCCTTTTTGTTGGTAGTTCTCATATACACAGTTTATCAAAATTAAGTACCATTCGCATTTTTCACACCATGCACCTGACCATTGCCAAGTCGATATTTAGGTGCACCTGATCATCCACTGAACATACCTTAACCCATAAAATACAGTCATCTGCATAAAGTCTCACACGAACAGAAAGTTATACCACAATGTCGTTAATAAATAATAAAATAAAAGTTGTCCTAAACTGACCACTGGGACACCAGAATGTATGTATGTATGTATGTATTATGTATGTATGTATGTATGTATGTATGTATGTATGTATGTATGTATGTATGTATGTATGTATGTATGTATGTATGTATGTATGTATGTATGTATGTATGTATGTATGCATGCATGCATGCATGCATGTATACAAGCTGTTTACAAAGGTAATTACTAACATAATTAAGACAACATTAGAATACAAGCAACCAAATGAACAGGCAGGATTTTGAACATGCTACTCTACAATCAACCTCATTCATTCTGTCAATCAGGTGATAGAGAAGTGCTCAGAATGCGCCCAACTATGACAAACATAGTCTTCATAGATTACCTGAAGGCACGTCAATCAGTAGAGATATGAACAGTCATGCAGAGATTGCTGAATCAGGGCGTCGACGAAACTTATATAAACATCCTGGAAGTAACATACAGAGGATCAATTGCTACCATGATGGCCCAAAAAGAAAGCGACAGAATGACAATTGAGAAGGGCGTAAGACAAGGAAATACAATCTCTCCAATGCGTGCTTACAGGCAGTTTTCAGACACCTAGAAAGGGAAGAGTTAGGGATAAGAGTTCATGAAGAGTACCTTAGTAAATGCGCATCGACGATGCCGTTGCGTTGTTCAGAAACTCTCTCTCTCTAAGTTGTTCTAAGAGAGAAAGGAAGAGAAAAATGAGCCCCGTAACTGTCTGCTTCCGGGAGCGACACCTCAACAGTAGTTCACAAGGGATGGGGATGAGGGGGGATTAAAAGGATAGGAATAAAGGTGTATAAAAAGAGAGAAACAATATGCCAGAGAGTGAGAGCGACGACATATCGAGGGGATAGGAGAGATAGGAAAGATGGAAACATGGTCACAGGAGTCCGAAGACGGGGCACCACTTGCGAGAGCTCTTGTAGGTGTCAGTAGATGGCGTAGAGCAAGTCCAGTCGGTCAAAGCTACACTGTCGTCGAATGTCGTCGGCGTCAGGAGATGACGTAAGGCGAGCCCAGTCGGCAAGAGCTACGCTGACGTCGGAGATCGCGAGGGCACAACCGGTCAGCACGGAATCCAGCAAGTAACTCAGAAACGAATTGCAATTCATGATTACTGAATTAGACAAGGAGAGCAGAAAGGTAGGTCTTAAAATTAATCTGCAGACTACGTAAGTATTGTACCACAACCTCAGAAGAAAACAGCACTGCGAGATAGGTAGCAGAGTACTCGAATTAAAAGAGTACGTCTATTTAGGATAGGCGGTAGCCGCAGAACAGAACCACGAGATTAAACGAGAAGAATAATATTGGGGTGGAGCACATTCAGTAAGCATTCTCAACTCATTATTGGTATATTGCCAGTATCCCTCAAAAGGAAGGTATATATAAAAGGACCTCTATGAAGTTTTTCATCCACCTATCCGTTAATATTTCCGAAACAGCTCTAAAAGAAAAAGCGCTGAAAAGCTCTCGATATCGCCCCGCTACGCTCGGCAGTTTACGCAGCCGGATGCCCGTTCCAAGCGCGACGTCAAGGACCACAGCTTTGGTCTCAGCTGCAAGGTTTGCGATCTGTTGTGGTTCCACAACAATCTGAGCGTGATAGGGAACATCAGAAAGACTCGAGCCGTTTGAACAAGTTTGGACGAGCAGGCCCCGACTCGTCTCCTCATTGATTTCCGCCATTAAAATTACTACGCCGTGTACCTCCCTTCGGGGATGTGGGGGCATTTTACCCTTTTCCGCTGTTAGAGAAAAAGCGCTCCAAATATCGCAGGTCTATCACCACGCGCAACACTCTCCGCGTGGTGGCCATAGCGCAGCGTACTTTGCACTGTGTACGAATAATTTCTAAGTGCATTATTTTAAATCAGCAATCACTTTGCTTGCGGTAAAATATAAAAATGTTTTTTTATACTTTTTAGTATTATAGAATATTGTGGCCTAGCTCGGACAACAGGACGTGCTATGTGGCTTGCCGAGCCAATCAGAACCCGCAGCCGCTGGCAGTACTTCCACATGACAAAACATCGTTCTGATTTATAATATAACTGTTTTAGTGCGCGCAAGAAACAGAACAAGAAATACACAGACGAGCGCTATCATTTGCCATCGTTCTGATGACAAAACAGCCGTTTTGTCTCACTGCTGTTCGAGCGTGTATTCATTAAAATAAAATTTTCTATAACTTGTTTGAGGGGATGAAAGCGATGATACGAAGGAGCGATAAAAACGCCCTCTTTAATTAGGGTCGCAGAGACAATTTATGACGTTTTAAGTGCTGGAGATGTTTAGTATTGTTTGTTCACACACTCACTCTTATTGCTTAAATACATCACCAATACTCTCGGGTGAGAGAGCACCGACATCCACGCTGTTTAAGCGTCACAGCGGGTGTGCTATACTTTTCTGGCTATTTCTCGGATACTATAGTATGAATTAGTGTTCGGACTTCACCGCTGTGTGGGCTATTCGCTATTTACTGAGCCCTAGATATGGACAAGCGAAGAAGACATACCACTTCAGCCAATAGCGGTGTGGGAGAGATGAGCAGTCTGATGTTATTCCGACAGGTCGTAAAGCGATGCCTAAACACGAACAGGCTGCATGCAGCCGTCCCAAAGCGCTAAAAGCTTAAGCGAGCGCCACCCGTGGAGGTTGCGTCGTCCGAGTCGAGAGGGGGGGGGGGGGGAATGCAGTTTGCGACCGCCTCTTTTTAAAAATGTTTGAAAACCTCTAATTTCAATGTTTTTGATTATCTTTTTTCTGGTGTGCACATGTTTACACTGTCTTCTCCGCGTCGCCTGAAGTTCCAACCAAGCTCGTGTGCGTTTTACGGAACTACCGTTGTATAAAATACGAGTTAAGGGGGAGCTTCGAGCGTAATTTTTACGCCAGTCCAAAAACACGCCAAAAACCCTGAGTCCGGGGGCAAACGGGGAACGGAGAAGTTCTGACGACTTGGCCAAGTTTCTTGAGCGAAATTCCGCGCGACGCCGCGACAGCGCTCTTAAAAAAGTGCGCGCAATCACGTTTCGGCGCGCCGAGTTTATGACGCAATCGCAGGCGTGCAGTTCCAGCTCCGCAAGCGGTGTAGAGCGGCCCAGCGAGCATTGGTTGCACCCGTTGCTGCAGTCTTGTAAATTACAAAGGCGTACGGCAGCACTTTATTAGCTGGTGGGTCCCTTTGCTCGGTGTCAAGTACAGTGCCCAAGCTGTTTTCTCTTTTTGTTTATTCGCCTGTTTTCAACTCTTCTTAACTTTCTTTTTCTCTTCCACGGCAAAGTGGGCGTTTATTCGTATTCCCGTTTATCGTTATTGGTAGCCGCTTGCGCGCACTTGGTCGCAGCCGCTACGCGCGTTGAGAGGCACTTAGTGCATACTTGCCGCTATCTACTTGGCGTTTCTTCGGTATTTCTTTCACGCGTGTATCCGTTATCGCTGTTCTCAAGTTAACTCTCCGCGACCCCTGACGC